CCCTGGAAACTCTATGGGACAAAGTTCTACTGTCTTACAGGGCTGCTGTGAGTCGCAATCGACTCAATGACAATGGATTTGGTTTAATCTATGGAAGCAGTTCGCCACTGGGTGGGTTTGAACCGTCAACCTTTTGGTTAACAGCACTTAACCATTACACCACCAGGGCTTCATATGAAATTATCACCCAGTATCCTCAAGACAAAGCAAGGCAGGCCCCTGTGTCAAATGTCTTAATTAGTTTCTGCCCTTATAATGGCATATCTTATGCAAGCATTATAGATTAAGATCTATGCAGTATACACAAATACATGCCTCAAATTGTAAAAAGGAGGAAAAAAAGTTGAATACAATGGTTAACATGATCCTATCTGCTAAAATACTTGCTCATATGTACATAAAACAAATTTTAACAAGATACCTTTAGAAAGTGAAACCAGAGGAGGCATTTTCCAATGTATGATTTACATTTAATACCATGAGCATGTTTTATTTAAAAAAACAAAACAAAAAACCCTAAATCCTGACAATCACTGCGTGGTAATAACATGGCAGCTAATAACTAGGCTGAAAAAGTAAAAAACGTAGTTGGCTCTAGGAGTCAAGGCTGGCCTGGGTTTCAAACACACTACTTAGCAGGATGTGTGATAGGTTGAGGGAGGACCTTCCAGCCGACCCCAAACAGTGATACTCACCCCTCAAGTGATTAAATACCACATTTGGAAAGGGTCCGGCAAAATGTTTGGCAGAAAAGTGCTTGAAAAACCTGAATTTCTTTCCTGGCTACTCCAAGTGCCTTCACTGAAGATTTCAGCACATTAAAAGAAAGCTACTTCTAAAAACTCAGTTCTTAGCCCTTTCCAAGATACTCCTCAAACTGCTTATGAAGTGGATGACTTCTAGTCCCAATTTCACTCCTGCAGTCCAACTTCTTGTTAAGCAGACTGCTATGTATTGGCAACTTCTAACTAGAGCTACAAAATCAGTAACTTTCTTGTCCCCATTAAACCCCCGAAGCTGGGACACATGAGCCAGCCGTTTCATTTTCCCTCTACCACTCTCAACTTCTTCGATTTTCTGCCTGTACTATCTATAAAGCTTGACAGGATATCCTGCATCTGGTTGCTTGGAATGTAACAAATCTTCAAACTGGATACCTGGATCTACTTCACTCATGGCTGAAGAATCCTACTGCATTGTCCTCAATTTCTCCTGCCCTCTTTAACTTCCACTTTATGATTAAGGTACCTCTCTGTTCCTCTTCACCTCCAATTCACATAGCCTTTCCTTACCTAAATGTGAGCTCTGCCTTCTTCAGTTCCCTCTTACACCTTGCCATTTACTTACAACTCCTTCTCTCCTGCCACTAAACTCTAACAGCCTTTCAAAAAACACCCTCAATTAAAATTACTTGCCACCTTACTCTAGGTTCAGGAGTATTCCCCTTAAAAAGCATGTGAAGTCCTACAACAAATATCTCATTTCACTCAATCTGGAGAGAATATGAAGTTAAGTGATTAGCCCAAGTCGTAACAGCAGCCTAAACTTGAACCTGGGTCAAACACAAATACTACTATGTTCTTCTCTAGACAGTTCGGGCTGCAGGGAGGTGACACAAACATGACTAAATGACAAATCAACATTCCAATTTGTATTTATTTGTAAATCACTCATTGAAAACTTGACATGGGTAGTTTTATCTAAGCTGAAAATAAATGTCCTCATTATAAAGAAATTCTGGTGGCAGGGAGCCAGCTGGAAATAAAAAAAAAAAAAAAGTTACCAGCTGCCTGAGCTTAAGAGTATTTAGACAATTATTTCCTGAGGGAGTTAAAAAAAAAACCCAACTCTCATAACTTACATAATTTTTTTATACTCACGATTTCAATTTCCTTTTTAAACAATCAATGCAAATAGCAAATAACACACCTTCCCGGCCAAAAAAGGGAACACTTTAAAAGAAAAGCATTCAGCAATTCAACTTCAGGAACTTCTCCCCTTGGCTCTGGTGTGAAGTTTTTGGGCTTGTCTGCAATAAAAACCACTGAAGAATGTTAATTCGAGCCAACGAAACCTGAATAAGATACGTAACTGAAAAAGCTGCCCATTCATAAACTCAGTAGTTTTAAAGACAGAGGGATGTCTTTCAGTCTATAGACTACTTTTCTAGAAAATATTGCTCAGCAAGTAGAGCATAATACAGGTAGGCAGTCCCTGACTTCACAAAAAGGTTGTTTCGACAACTCTGTCCAAAGTCAGTTCCGATGTAAGTCAAATATGTTTTTTAAAAAAGTTTTCATTATTATTGTCTTTTATTATCAATACCTCTAAATCTAATCTTTCTCTCTGCGGACTGGATGACATATAAACTTACAGATATGACAATATAAGCAAATTACACACTGGAACACTGTATGTACTATTACTAACAATGAGATGTACTGGAAAAAAAGTCATTAAGTGCGGCTCGAATACATCGTTTAAGTTGGGGACTACCCATATTCACATGTTAAGAGTTTGAGAAACATTCTGGCTATTGCCCCATGTTCCAGATTACAAAGAAAAATAACTAAGCTACTAAATGTTGACTGTAAATACCCTATCTTAAATTTCTGCAATCCCAAAGGAAAAGTTGCATAACAAAATTAAGCAGTATCAAAATACCACTTTACACATTATGTAAGTGATCCCTTTTTCAGATCCTCACAAGTGTGCTAGAGCTGAATTCGTTCAAAGTACCCAATGAATCCTTAGTAAAACAGATGAAAAGAATTTTTATGACATATAAAATCTAACATAACGCTACAGGATTCTTTTGATAAAAATATATACTCCAACCCAGTTTTTCTTCAAGCTATTTTAATTACAAAAATCTTTTTTGTTATGTTCTCAAAAAATTGGAAAACCAGAAGGCAACAATCTAGTAGTACAAAAAATATACAAATGGAAGACATTACCACCAACTCTGCCTGACAATCATATTCAGAATTCTGAAAATAAAAGCACATTAAAATATTAAACCAGTGGTTTGCTTATCACCTGGGATGACTTCCACATCACAGGGCTGGACCACCACAGAAAACTGAGTCAATGGGCCTGAAATTAGAATCTGTGTATTGCTGAAAAATCTCTATGATCAACACTCTTGATGGGCACTTCAGGAAAATGACCAGAGCTCTACAATAAAACAGAAAGCAACCAGAATTTCCCATCCAAATATAGGTTTTGTGTGTAAAACATTACTGACTGCAGTCTAACAAAAAGGGGTGGAGATATACCATCTATAGCTCACAGCGTTCGTTTTAAGGATTGGTATTTATCTCACAATAAATTTTCTCTGGCCAACTTATGTTTTCACTCCCTTTTCTGCTTAACACATAGAGGGCAGAGGAAACCCACAATGAACTGAGGAGCGTGGATGAAATTAGATACTCTTTATGGCGTACAAACAAACTATGATCCTTAGTTTGTTTTTTAAAAATTACCACCAGTTTAGTTTACTCTATTAATAATGACCTGAAGTGAATACCTGCAATCATTACACCACAGGTCAAAGCTTGGCTTTGTGACGGCTTTCAGTAATACTATACTCAATTCAGTCCTTTCTATGGAGAACTAGCCTCTGTAATTTGTATACTACCAAAACAATGCTCATAGAATATGTGTTTATACTGATTGACGTACCATGGTACTTCTTAACTTACCTACCTCGGATTTTTCCTAAAATGAGGAGTGTTTAGGCTAGGGCAAAATGTTAAAAGACAAAAGGCCCAAAAGCCAAAGCTCCCAATTCATCAACAGGGAGTCTGAAAAGTGTCTTCCTGGAACATGTTCAACTATAACAAGGTTCATACTGAACCTAGCCAACACCAATTCTCTTCTCCCTCACAGAGATTTGCATGGAAGGTTTAAGAGGATCACTGGTAAGAAATTATATCATTTGTTTAATAATATCCTTAATAAACCGAACTCTTAATGCAATGACTTATCTTTCATATTAAAAACAAAATCAAAACAGCATTAAACCAAAACTATCTTTAAAAAGTACATTTAAGGAAACTAAACCACAAGACTGTTGCAGTATGATTTAATCTAATTGCACACAAACTTGAAATATTACAACTCCTGATTCTAAAAGGAAGGTTATGCATGCCTCCGTATTCTTCTTCGCTGTTACACTGGAACCATGTGAAATTTTACATCATGACAGATCAATTTAGAATTCCCATGCAACACCTCAAAATATGTAAAACGGAAGCAATTTTTTAAACTCCGGAAAGTTTTCATGCTAATGATAAAAGCTTTTTTAGGGGCAACTTACTTTGTGTTACAATGTACTGAAGATTGCTATACTTTCAAATATGGTCACTGAGTATTATGGACCCTGAACTGGCTTCTGCTAATAAATGGGTAACTACTAACAATTGGGTGACATCTAAAATTCACTTCAAAAGACTAATTCACAGTGCTTCTCAGTTTTGTTTCTTAGAAAGTAAGAACTGTGTAACCAACTTTTTCATGGGACAAGAACCGTGGTAACAGTGGATTCAACTGACTATATTACACAATTATGCTAATATTTTATTACTTCAAAAGCACTTTACAAGAAAATAACTATGGCTTCCAATAGGAATGTTATACTTGGACTTCGTACCAAGCTCACAGATTTGAGTTTTGCAAGGAAAAACAACAGTCTTTGAAGTTAAACAACAATTTATAACCAAAACTTTAATCCCAAGAGTTCTCACAAAACATTACAAATGACAGCATGAAAAAAAATCTTGCACAGTAACTTAAAGTTCATCTCTACAATGTACCCTTAAACTGACAGGACACTGGTATTTTGAAGTCTCAAATTTCCAAAATAAACGATGTTACAGCTATCTACTCGTATACATTAATCACATAAAGAATTTATGACCTAAAGCAAAAGACTAACTCTTGAAACTCATCAGTTTCTACATCAACTGGGCAACCTCTGCACATTGTGAAGACTCAGATTTTTTTTTTCTTAACAAACCTCTAATCTAGTTAAATGGTGCAGCTTTTAAAGACGGCTTATTCAACTGTAGCTGCATCCTAGATCCCAACTATGGACAAAAAAGGTCTTAGTTCAACTTTTGCCAGTTTTGTTTCTATAATATTAAAACATCACACTTCAACTGGGCAAGATTTAGAGGCTTATCATCAGTCTACGCAAGACTAAAAGTTCAGAACAAATTCAATTTTGCTTAAGGGAACATTGTAAAGTAATAAATTCTTGGTATTACATGCCTCATATGATCCATTTGAAACTATAGAGAATTACATCTTTGTATGTGTCACCGTTACAAGAGACAAATTCGAACAGCTAAACATCTTAAAAATGCACCAAGAAGTCTCAAACAAAACTTGAATTTTCTGTACATACTCCTGTCAAATGAAGTTTTTTCCTGTACATCACTACTCCTCTTGCAAACTGGTCTTCTATTTCCTTTCATTTGACCTAGATCGGCTGAAAAAAAAAATAAAGATTTTTTTACTGTAACTGTATTAGTGATATAACTTCGAAGTTCTTTTCAAAGATTATCAAAATGAATTAAAAGACCTATTTTCTGTATTTAGTATATTACACCTGCAAGGTCTTAATGGTTCAAGTCATTAGAGATCTCACTTACCTACGAGATCTAGAGAAGGATCGAGACGGCTTGTGATTTCTCTCCCGAGACAGAGATCTCTCTCTTCTCCTGTCTCTAGAAAGGGACCTAAACAAGGAAAGAAAATCAGGCTCAGTCAGGCATAACTATACATAACAAATACTTTCTCACGAGTCTTTGAAAACTCAAAGCTAGTTCATTCTTAAAATATACAACTCTGGCTTTATATACCACTTGATTCACCAGTAGCTCAGGGTCTGTTACCATTAGGCTCCATCATTTGGAAAATTAACTTAGGCTGTTTTTTAGAATCTGTCCCCAAGAAGATGCATCTTAGTTATTTACCTGCTCCGGCTGCGAGAGAAGCTTCTCCTTCTTGGAGATCTAAAAGCAGAAACAGGAAAATTAGACTAATTGTCAATTACCAGTGATGGCGTGAGGCATTTCCCAACTTTTCAATCTCACTGTTGGGCCCAGTGCATGTGCCGAAGAACTGGCACCCATCGTCCAAAATAAAAACAAAACAAAACAAAAAACAAAAAAAACAAAAAACAAAAAAAAAGAAAGAAAGAAAGAAAAGAAAAAATAAATATAGGCACAGAAGGAATAAGGAACAAAAAGCTCAAGTGAAATGCAGGTATTCCAACCATGGCTTCACTTTAACAAAGAATGCTTCACAGCAGATCTGTCCAATGCAAAACTTCATGTCAAACTAACTTCACTACCCAAACACCACACCAAAATGTAGACCCACAAATAGTTCCAAAAACAGTACCATAAACCAGTATTTGGAACCCATGCAAACCTAGAAGTCCATGACAAGACTTAGGTACCAGGTGGATAGTGTAATTTTGTGAAAACGCGCTAGGTGTAAATACTGATGCCATAAAGTGCTACATTAGAACTGCATTTGTGATCGTCACATTTAAGAGTGTTTAGGCTTATCAAATTACCTTAGCTTGGCCCACTTCACCCCAAAAATTGTTTTTAAATTTTGAAAACGGTTAGTAAAACCATTTAAAGGTGATAAGGATTCAACAAATTTTTGCTAGAAAAGAAAGCTGAATCTGTTAGAGATATTAAAATTTTTAGTTCGGCATCTCACACATGCAAATAAGTTTCACCTGAAGGTCTAGTCACATTATGAGTTCCCTATCACCCTTAAAAGTTTTATTCAAGCAATATATATGTACGTTACCATTCAATTATGCACAGCCAGCCTTTGATCCAGAAAAAAGAATTACTTTAAGCCGCTTACTCCTTATTTTAACCAGCAGTAAACTGTATAAGCAGGAAAAACTTACTAGTTTTGGGTTTCAACAAGCTAGAAATGGTGAGGTGAGGCTGCCGGACTGACGGCCAGGAAGAATTTGCTGAAAAGGTTTTGCCAGATGTTGCGTTGGATTTAGTTGGTTGGCGAAGGGGGTGTTGTGGATTTTTCCTGCTTTTTTGTTAGCCGAAGGCTGCTGCTGTAGTTGTTGTGAAGACATTTGGTAAATAAACAGCTGAGCTGATTGGCCAGGAATGTGTGGGCGGTCGAGGTGGCTGCTGCCGATTTGGTTAAGGTTGGAGAGAAGGCTGAGAGAAAACAGCATGCTCGGGAACCAAAGGGCGGTGCAACCTGGCGACTGGCCATGCCTGGGTCATGTGAAACGACACCAGCCAAGCTGAATGGGGCGCGCTGGTCACATGACGCTGAAAGGGCTAGTTGACTGGCTAATGCAGACTCAGAGGGTGGTGAGAAGAGACATGATGGTGACTCTGTAACGGGGTTCATTTTTATTAATAGATGGACCAAAAAGCACAAAAAAAAAATGAAAAACAAGCCATCAGTACAACCATCTATTAGCTAACAATACTCTTTATTATGATGGGCAACAGCGTGTTGTTTTGTTTTCCAAAACAGCAAAAGGGGCAAGACTTTGAACTCCTTTCTCCTAGAAGGACTGCACTCACCTGTCAGAGGTAAATTCAGTCCTGTACAAACTATTTTGGAGGTTTGAGGAGACGTGGAGTTAGCATCCAGACAGTACTGCCTGGTCCAAGAATGATGCCATTTTCAATTACAAAAAAAACAAAAACAAAAACAAAAAAAAACTGAATTCTCTCCTATTTGGGTTTGAAGAACAGATGAACTGGGATTACTTCTTTTTAGCCCCCTTTATTGGTCAGTGACTTAAGTTAGTCTCAAATGATTTCTACTTTACCAGTTGCAACATTAAAACAGCTGCCTCTTTGATAAATATTACAATTGTGCTAATAGTAGAAAACACATTTTTGTGAAGAACTAGAGTTGAATGTAATGTTTGTCATTATGGAGTCAAGAAATGGAAAAAGGCCTAACTGAAGTATAAGGGAAGACTTGGGAAGATGCAACTAGAAGATGAACTAGAAGATAGATCCAAGATAGAAGTTACTACCTACCAACATGAACAGTGACCTAAAGACAAAAGCCAACACTCAGCACAACTCACATACCCCAAACTACTGCCCAACGTTTCATAAAAACCTCTGACTTCTCACAATATAAGTTTAAAACCCATCAACATACGTTAAGAGAAATACCTCCTCCTACTATCTACTCCATTACACCAATACCTTTAAACACTCTCTCTCAAGTACCTGCGACGAGGTGGAGGACTTCTTCTACGATAATCATCCCGAGGGCGACGACCCCAAGAGGGAGGTGGACCACGATTCCGACTTCTTTTTTCACCATTTGACAGTTCCACTCTTACACGGCAGCCACACAGTGTTCTAGGAGAAAAATTATTAAATTTAAATTTATTAGACTTAAAGCAACCAACTTTCTAAGAAACATATAGCAAACACATCTAAATGTCTGCTGGCTGCCAGTGAATTGATTCAGACTCATACACCCTTTTAATAGCAAAATAAGTTTTAGTTCTTATTTCTAATACATAAACAGTTGGGCTGATTCCTCAGTTTAATTTCTAATTAAATTTCACAAATAAATGATTTTTTAAAGTACTAATTCACAAATAAAGGAAACCAGCTTGCTTGTATTTAATCACTTAAATGTTAAGATCAGTTTAATCAAGGGGCTCAATGTTAATTCGTTCAAGTTGCTATTTACGCGTGAACTTAAAACTTCATCTTAGAAGAACTAGTTCACATGTTACCTTCGCTGGGGCCTCCTCCCCTTGAGTCCCAGCAATCATTTATTTCACGTACAGATTTTACTACACTTCATTTTGCCTCCCCAGCCCTCATAAACAGAGCTCCTCCAAGACAAGGACCAGAAGAAGAACCATTTTGGTCATCTCATATCACCCTTGCCCTACAATACTTGGATAAAAAATTACAGCCAGGATTACTAAAAAAAAAAAAAAAAAAAAACAGTCAACCTCTATCCTTCCTTTGGTCCACAACCATCAAATTTAGATAAGCCACTATATTTGGACAGTAATTGGGAGAATTTTGTTTCTAGAATCTTTCCGGATAAACAACGATCTTTTATACAGCCTTACAGCCAGCCCTCAGACCCTTTTTCATAATATAGCAAATAAGAGACCAATTTACGGTACTGTGAACCTACTTCAGGAGCCAAATTCTGAAACACAGATTATCAGTTTTCCTTGGTTTCTTGGAATTCAACGGTTTTCAAATGGAAAAAAGGAGGGAAGAAAGGCAACCCGTTACTATTAAGGCTTAAAGAAAATGAAAACCAAACCAGTTGCTGTTGAGTCGATTCCGACTCACAAAGACCCTATGGGACAGAGTAGAACTAACCCATAGGGTTTCCAAGGAGCGCCTGGTGGATTCGAACTGCCAACCTTCTGATTAGCAGCGGGGCTCTTAACCACTACGCCATCAGAGATTAAGGGCTACTTATTCTTCAGCTAAGGGTTTAGCTAACAGGATACTATAACCACAAAGGGAAACACAGACCTCAACAAATTAACATTCCTTGGGTGAAATAGTTCCAACAACAACAAAAAAAAAGGTACAATAATCCCCATGTGACTCACCATCTTACAGCTACAACAATTACCAGCAGGCTTATGGCCTGGATGCTGTTATTCCTCCCTGCCCCCCTCAAGTTATTTAAAACCCACCAAGAACTCAGATTTATCATTAAATCTCTTAATAAGGTTTCTTCAACAGCCAACTGAATAAAAATGAACTTTTCCTACATACTTCCACTAAACCCTCTTAGTGTTTTTTTTTTTAATTGAAGAAAAGGCCTATGGCATCTCCAATAACATCCCTTTTGGTTGATGGTGCCCACAGCAAAAAGCTATGTACAACAAACAAATACTAAATACAAGTAACACTTTTTCTACCATTACATTACCTTCCATCTAGTTCTCGAACAGCATCAGCTGCATCCCGAGGATCTTCAAATTCAACAAAAGCAAAGCCAGGAGGGTTTCTAGCAACCCACACACTTCGGAGTGGGCCATAATATCCAAAAGCCCGTTCCAATTCGGTCTTGTTGCCATTGTTTCCAAGATTACCTACATAAACCTTACAGTCCAATGGACAGGAATCACGATGCATTTCTGTAACAACAAAAAGAGAGCCAAAAATATTTTAGTCCAAATAATCCACACATCACTAAGGAGAAATTAAAAAATCTTTAAAAGAAACAACCTAAATGCCCACTAACAAATGAATGGAACTAAATGTTGTATATACATACAATGGACTATTACTCAGCCATAAAGAGAAACGAAGTCCTCATACATGCTACAACATGGATGATTGTTTAAAACATGCTGAGTGAAGTCAATAAGTCACACAAGAACAAATCTTTTATGATTCCATTTACATGACACGGACAAATGTGAAATACATAATGGTAATGGTTGCACAACATGAAAAATTGACAAGTGTTTTGTCATCTTTTACCACAATAAAACAATCTTTTTTAAAAACCCAACTATGTATGTTACACACCAACAGTTATCGAAAATATTAAACTTAAAAAAAAAAAAACCTACCCTTGAAACACTCACTCCCCCAACCTTTACTGCATCAAAACACCTACCCCACCCCCCCACCAGGAAGCTAGTATAAAATAAAGGGGGTGGGGAGCCTACCCAGGAAGTGAGAGGAGCATTTACTAAGTAAGGTCTGGGCACCGAGTTAGGGACTTTACCAGGTATCTCATTTAATACTCAAAACAAGGTTTTAGAAAACTCTAACCTGCTCAGGAGCAAATCAATTTTGTCACACTCAAAAACCAAATGAATTCAACTGTAACAAATGTACTACAGGGATGCAAAGACTTTTAATAGGAGAAACACTGTATAAGAGGGAGGGGAGTATATGGGCACTCTAGTTTCTGCATAATCTTCCTGTAAATCTACAATTGCTCTAATAGTCTATTAAAAACGATTTAGTAAAGAGCCAATACTTAATGTTAAACTAGCAGATAAGTTACATAAATCTGCTTTCATTAAGCCAAAAATAACAGGGTTTAATAAAGCGAAATATTTTTACCATCCTTGGAATGCCACAGAAACTTCCTTTTCCACAGGGAACAATTTTAGTACCACATATCATCAAACAGATCAAAGTCATTCAGTAAAAATTCAGTCAACAGAAAGTATAAGGTTTAAATATGGGTGTGTATATATAAAAGATTTATAGCAAAACTACTTACAGTAGCCAAGAGGTGGAAACAATCCAAATGTCCATCAATGGATGAACTGATAAAATGTGGTATATACATACAATTGAATATTCAGCAATTATAAACAATGTACTGATACATACTACAACGTTGTAGACAAATATCAATACACTAAACGAAAGCCACACAGAATGTCACATGTCGTGATTCCATTTATATAAAACAGCCTGCATAGGTAAATACATAAACAAAGCAATTACTGGTTGCTAGGGCCTGGGAGGAATCCCTGGGTTAAGACCTCTCAACTACTAGCCAAAAGGTTGGCGGTTTAAACCACCCGGAGGCGCCTTTAAGTCAGGCCTGGCAATCTACTTCCAAAAGTTCCCAACAACCATGCCCTACGGAGCACAGTTCTACTCTGCACACATGGGGTCGCCTTGAGCCGGAGCGTCCACTCCATGACAACTAACAAGACTGGGAGGACAGGACTGGTTACTGGATATGGGTTATTCTTTGGGTAAGATGAAAATGCTCTGCCACTAGAGGACAGCTGCAGAACATTGTCAGTGTACTAAATGTCACTGAATTATACACTTTAAAATGAATTTTATGTTCTGTGAATTTCCCGTCAATAAAATAATTGAATCACAAAAATTACTTTGGCATTTAATCCAATCAACTGGTAGAGCAGCTTCAATTACATAAAAGCCTTCCCTGTAACTCATTTGAAAAGTTTTTCATAAACATCACGTTCTTCTCACTCTAAGCTTATCTAATAAAAAATCCAGTCCAGACACATCCTATTTACCCCGACTCCACCCTGTGCCCGGAGCTGCGAATCCACACCATTGGTAAGAATTTAAAAAAAAAAAAAAAAACCTTTGCCGAAGCAAATCAAAGAATAACGCAGCTCAACTCTCTAGGAAAGATCGTCCAGTTTAATAAAAGTGCAACCTGTAAAAAGTGTACTTAAACCAGCAAAAAAATACAGGTGGCGTGAAAAAAGGCGAATAAGGAGCTCGTTTAATAAGGATTCAAAGAACCGGTGTTAGTGTCTTGAGAAAAAAATCCCAAGGAGCTTCCGAAAAAAATGAGGAGCCAAAAAAAGGCGCCACAAGTTGAAAGGCCGCGCGCGGCCTGGAACCTAATTCGGGTACTGGCTTCCCTTTCGTCACAACTCTCAGATATCGCACCACTCCAGTTCCCCCGAGCGAAGAGGAATAAACACCTCCACTCCAAGGCCAGGAAACATCCTCAGATGGGCCGGGAGCACCCGCCACCACTCCCGGTTGAACGTCACAAAATGGCGGCGACGCTTCTTTGTCTCAATCTGGCGCCGCCATTGGGCCTAGCCCCACCTTGGGACTGTTAAATCCCGCTTCCCATTTCACTCTTTTCCTCCCTGGTTTCTTACCGAAATCTTGGGTTAGAAACGCAGAGGCCTCAAACCACTCTTCAAAAGGGCTTCTCGCCCTCCTTCGGCTCGGCTCCTACAGACGATCCCGCTTCCCCGGCGTCCACGAAATGGCGGACTACCGCCGTCTCCTTGCCCTTATTTATATGCCATGCTGGAGTCACATGATTGGATGGGCTCGCCCAATGAGAGGCGGAAGAAGTAATGACGAAGCAGTTACAAACGCAGCGAGAGCCGCGGTTGCCGGGAGCGCGCGCAGGCTGCACCGCCTAGTACTTGAAGGCGTGCGCTGGCGCGCTCTTGTCATTGCGGGCCTGGAGCTCCTTTGGGTGTTGTTCCTCCCTTGGTGGCGCCGATGTTACTCTCCCTCCTCTCGCCTTCAACTCCAAATAGACTGGAGTTTAATAAACAACACCATCCCCGTCACTCCCGAACACTAGCTATTTGCTCCTAACAAGATTGAGTGATTAGATGAATTCATTAATTCATTCTTGTAAGCGTTTAGGCTGGAGCTAAAATAATCGCGTCTACAAACGTGGCTCAGAGTTGTTTCTAAGATCAGGAGCTTAGCTGTTTGTAAGTTGGCACCAGACTTGTGCCCAGGTCCTAGACTTATAGAAACGCTTCACCCAACTGACTGGCTTCCCTTGTCTCAACCAAACTGCAAGACTTGGCCGAGACGGTTGGGGCCAACATCCTGGATTCTTAAAATGTTTAACAGAAACTCATCAGCCAATGAGACCGGTCTGGCCTCCTAGAAACAATCACCCTTAGCAAACAACAGGAAAAGGAAGTTTCTGAAGACTGAATTTAAATTATAGGACCCCTACCAAAGCTAAGAAGTTTCCTGAATACAATCAAATACTTTGAGAGAGTAGCAGGGATAGGGGTCTGGGGACCACACTTTCGAGGGACATCTAGGTCAATTGGCATAACAAAGCTTATTAAGAAAATATTCTGCATCCTACTTTGGTGAGTGGCGTCTGGGGTCTTAGAGGCTTGCAAGCGGCCATCTAAGATGCGTCAATTGGTCCCAACCACCTGGAGTAAAGGAGAATGAAGATCACCAAAGACACAAGGAAAGTATTACCCCAACAGACAGAAAAGTCCGCATAAACCAGAGACTTTATCAGCCTGAGACCAGAAGAACTAGATGGTGCCTGGCTACCACCAATGACCTTCCTGACAGGGAACACAACAAGAGTCCCTGATGGAGCAGGAGAAAGGTGGGGTGCAGAACTCAAATTCTAGTAAGAAGACCAGACTTAATGGTCTGACTGGGACCGGAGGAACCCTGGAAAGCATGGCCCCTGGATTCTCTATCAGCCCAGAACTAAAACAGTTTCCGAGGCCAACTCTTCAGACAGGAATTGGACTGGACTGTGGGACATAAAGTGATACTCGTGAGGAGTGTGCCTCTTAGCTCAAGTAGATACAAGAGACTAAACGGGCAGCTTTGGTCCGGAGGTGAGAGGGGAAGGCAGATAGGGTTAGGAGCTGGTTGAATGGACATGGGAAATCGGGGGTGGAAAGCAGGAGTGTGCTGTCACAGTATGGGGAGAGCAATTAGGGTCACATAACAATATATGTGTAAACTTTTGTATGGGAGACTAACTTGAAATGTAAACTTCATTTAAGCTACAACAATGAAAAAATAAGAAATAAATTATAGGACCCCAAACAGAAATTCCAGGAAGGGTACCTCTGGCCTTTCTCCTGATGCCCTTGCCCTGCCTGGCTAAGGCCACCGAATTTACCTGGAGTGGGAGGGTCCTGTGGGCCCTTTACACGTCTTCCTCTATTTTCCACTTTCCCCAGGAAGAAAGAGCCACAAGAATAATTAACTCTTTGGGGAGAAATACTGCGAATGTGTTAGAAAAATCATCAAGATCTCCCTCTTCAGAACAGTGAGTTCAGCTAGGAATTTTGTTTCTTGTGCTCTCAAATTTACCCACTTACTCCCTTTCAGTAAAGTTTGACTTATTGCTAAAATTTATTTAAATCTGCTCTCAAAAGAAAAACAACAACAATTAACAATCAGTATTTTCAGTCATTTACAACAATGGACTCAAACATACCAACAATCATGAAGATAGCACAGCACTGGGTAATGTTTCTTTTTATTATACATGAGGTCTCCAAGGGCCGTCTCCAAGGCAACTAACAACACTCCCTCTTTGCTGAAAGATATGCTGATCATTTCCTTATGTTTTACCTCTCTTAGATGTTTTCTTTTAAAGTCTTATCGCTTATTGTTGTTCTAAAAGATTTGTCCTTAGTGGAAAAAAAAAATACAAAGATTTAGTCTCTCTGAGCCTTAGTTTCCTCACTTGTAAAATGGCGATTTCATACTGCAAGTCAAACCCGTTGCCATCGAGTCGATTCCAACTGGTAACCCTATAGGACAGAATAGAACTACCCCCATAGGGTTTCCAATGCTGTGAATCTTTACGGAAGCAGACCACGACATATTTCTCTGGAGGAGTGGCTGGTGGGTTCAAACTTCAGCCGCTGCGCCACCGGGGTTCCTCCATACTGCAAGAGAGGGGGGAATGGGAATTACAGTCGTTGAGCCAGGCCTTGTTCTGGCCTTACCAAGGGAATTTCCACCCTGAGGCAGGTGAAGGGGGGTGGGAGGAGGGAGTTCTAGCAAATCTTTTTACCTTCTTTCCCTCTCCTTCTCTAAATGTTTTTCTTCTCTGGCTGACTTGAGTTTGCCTTGATTTACTCCCCTCCTCTGTCTATGCTTTCTCTTCTTTTTAATTTTATTTTCTTCTATCTGCTTTCATAAAGATTACAGCCTTGAACAGTGGTGTCGCTAGAGGGGTGCAGGGGTGCAGAAAGCACTGCGTGACACTCTCTGAGGGAGTGACATAAAATGACTGTCCACAAAATTTTTGTGCAGTGTTTTAGTAGAAATTTATTATTTTTTATAAAAATATACTTGTGGTTAGTTATAACAACAATAAAAATTTTTGTAAGCCCAGCTTACATGTATCAATATACCTACAAGGCTAAAGCTCTATGCTAATTTACTTTTTGAACCTTCTGACATACTTCCATCAGAGCTGTCATTGTTACCCAATTACAATGACGCTTCAAATCACGTGGTTTTGTCTGCACACACTATCATCATCATTGCAGCCAGTGTTTTTATAGTTGCTGATTTTGTCAAACTTTCTAGTGTTTTAGCTTCAATATTATGGTAATTAGCACGAGGGTGTCATGGATTGAATTGTATTCCCCCAAAATATGTATCTCAGTTTGGCTAGGCCATGATTCCCAGTATTGTGTGATTGTTCACCATTTTGTCATCTGGTGTGATTTTCCTGTGTGTCATAAATCCTACCTCTGTGATGTTAATGAGGTGGGATAGGCGGCAGTTAAGTTAGTGAGGCAGGACTCAATCTACAAGATTGGATTGTGTTTTGAGCCAATCTCTTTTGAGATATAAAAGAGAGAAGCCAGCAGAGAGACATGCGGGACCTCATACCACCAAGAAAGAAGCACCAGGAGCAGAGCACGTCCTTTGGACCTGGGGTTCCTGCCCAGAGAAGCTCCTTGTCCAAGGGAAAATTGATGACAAGGACTTTCCTCCAGACCGGACAGAGAAAGCCTTCCCCTGGAGCTGAAGCCCTAAATTTGGACATCTAGCCTACTAGACTGTGAGAGAATAAACTTCTGTTTGTTAAAGCCATCCATTAGTGGTATTTCTGTTATAGCAGCACTAGATGACTAAAACAGGAGGTGACACCATGAGTTACCACACTGGGTGACACCAACCCTAGTGACGCCATTGGCCTTGGAAACCTTATGGGGCCATTCTACACTGTCCTATAAGGTCACTATAAGTAAGAATCGACTTGACAGCAACAGGTTTGGAGTTTCGTTTTGTTTTCTCTAGCCAGTGCAAAGGCTTTGAGGTCAGTCAGTCCTGAATTTGGACTGGAATCCAGCTACTACTTACTGCTAAAATGTCTTGAAAGTAATCTCTTCTCTCAGCACTAGTTTCCTCTCTGTAAAATGGGATAACAACACCAACATTATAAAGTTGTTATTTGCTGTCACTCCCCTCAGGAATGTCAGCCTTTGTCTATTGTGTGCACTCCTTCCTCCCCAGACCTGGAATCATAATTGTATTAGCACCTAGCAGTCGATCAATACGTATTTATTTAGTTACTTAATTTTGAAAAGTGATATATGTAATCACTTGGCAAGTCTCTGCTCAAAATTATACTGGCTCTTTTTAAATGTTCATTTCCTGTCTAATGCCATTTCTCATTATCCCATTCTTTCCCACCACTTTTCCTGTGTTTGTGTGTGTGTTACGCTAGCCATGAAGCTTCTTTCAATAGAGTACTCTTAATCCCCGCAACTCTATTCACAAATATATTCCCAGTCTTCTGGCCAACCATGCACACTTGCCGTCTCCAAAAAAAAGAAAGAAAAAAAAAAACCCGTTGCCATAGAGCGGATTATGACTTATAGTGACCCAATAGGACAGAGTAGGAATGCCCCATAGAGTTTCCAAGGAGCGGCTGGTGGATTCCAACCGAAACCTGTTGTTGTCGAGTCGATTCTAATTCATAGCAACCCTATAGGACAGAGTAGAGCTGCCCCATAGGGTTTCTAAAGCTGTAATCTTGATGGAAGCAGATTGCCACATCTTTCTGCCACAGAGCGCTTGGTGGGTTCAAACAGCTGACCTTTCATTTAGCAGCCAAACACCTTCAGGGCTCCTTTTTGAGACTGCAGCCAAGTGAATTATCCATTATCCAAGTGAGTTATTTTATGGAGTATTTTAATGTTTCTTTAAATGTGTACAACCACCACTCGTCTAGATGCTAGAACCACACGAAGCTTCCAACGGGACATATCAGAATTTCTTGGTAGGGACAGAGAATGGGGATCATCTGTTGTAGTGAATATCTTCTTACAGGAGTTCATGTTATGGATTCAGGTGTGGTAGGGCCCTACAGGGGTGAGGACGTGACCACCCCTGGTTATTTAAGTCATTGCAGTTCCTAAACCCTTTCATGATTTTGGAAACAAATGGGTAATCCATTCAGATGAGTCAGTTGCTAGTTTTGGCACTACCGCTAGACCTAACAGAGGGTCATTTCCTCTGAGGAAA